CCAACATCAAATGTCTGATCTTTTGAATGATTTACTGCTTGTGGTTAACTGCCCCAATTTTCTCTTATAATGTAGTCGGTCAAAACCGACAAAGCAGACAAATACAGCATCGTTTCCTTTGCCGTGATGTACAGTAAAAAGTCTGCCCCGATGTGCTGAGTGTGATATGGAGGTGGAGGGGCACCTTATTTCCAGGGTAATAACTGGGCTTGGAGCCACTCGCTAGGGCCCATTGCAACTGGGTGGCATCTGAGGGCTGTTGTCAGCTCCTCTTCGATATCCATAGGGATAACTCTGGCTGCTGAAGGGAACCAACATTTTGACACTGGAAAACTGTTTTTAGGGATATTGATCTTAAGCTGTTTATTAAGAAACAAAAATCTCAGAAAGAACCTTTGCTCTCCCCTCCAGCCCTCCCCCGCACCCCTTTCCTGCCCAAGAGATGCAGACTGAGAAACTGCTTTGGGAAGGGGGCTTTGGCTTAATCACTGTAAGAATCTTCACCCTAGCAGGAAGACTCCATGCCTCTCAGCTGGATACCCATTGTTTCTGAGTTGCCCAGCAAGAATTTGCCTGCTCTATAAGTTCGCCTCCTCCTCAACTACCTGTAAATCACCCATTCTCACGTCTGACATCTAGTCCCCTGTTGCCCCCTCCCCTTTCTCCTTGGTTCAGAAATGTCTTATATACCCAATGTTGCCTCATGGTCTTCATGCCTATGTGCATTCTCCATCCGCATGTATTAAAACTTTGATTTTCGACTGTTATTCTATCTCTGTTAATTTGATTGTTAGCCCAAAGAGTGGGAGAAAAAAGTATTCATATATTTTTTAGCCCCACAGTACATTGATCAATGGGGACTTCCAGAGAGCAGCAGCAATGCCACAAGTCCACCATGGCTAGATTGGACAGGGAGAGTTCTGGGGCCATGTCTTCCCTAACAGGCTGGCCGCGCCCCAGTGCCTGAAGGAAGTAAGAACTTAAGGCTGTCCCACTTAGAATAAGGGAGCTGAATAGAGGACAGGACTCATCGGCTCTGTTTTTATCCCAGGGGTTTTGTGATGAGGTTTTACTGTGGTGTGGAGCTTGTCACAATGCTACCCCAGGAATTACAGTCAGGCACCACCTGTCAGTCATCAAATAGGTATTAGGAGTTCAAATCTCCAAGACTGCCGTTTGAAGTAGAAGAAAGAAGATCCGACACACAGCTCACAATTCTCACAACTCCCTTCTTTCTTGTGCCCCAAATTTTTTGCATTCAAGGTTGCTCTAGAAACTCATACGACTAAATCCCCCAATTTTCCCCAGCATTACTCTTTCCTAGCTTTTCAGACTAAGCCCTAAACCCTTCTTCTCTCCTAAGTTTTTGGTTTTTTTTCATTCTACTCTCATGATTCAATAACACGAATGACTTAGAATCCATTGAGATCTGAGAGCCAGGAAGAGTATGGTAGAGGAGGGTATTAAAAAACTGTGATACATCTGCACAATGGAATACTTCGCTGCTATAAAAAAGAAGGAACTCTTACCGTTTGCAATAGCATGGATGGAACTGGACAGCATTATGCTAAGCGAAATAAGCCAGTCGGAGAAAGATAAATATCACATGGTCTCACTCATTTGTGGAATATAATGAACAACATAAACTGATGAACAAAAATATTTTAGAAAATAATAAAAGTAATCCTGATATTTACAGATTTTCAATATTTCCTACAACTTTTGTCATATTATACTATGTTAGTACAGTTCTGGTAATATTATTATATTTAAAATATTAATGTTTATTGCACGTAATATTATATTTAAATTGTCTTTCTTGAAATATTAATGTTTATTGCATGTAAATGGCTAATTATTTTGTATCTACAATCTGGTAAATAGATTTCTTTTGTATTGTAAAAAAAAAAAAAAGAGCCCTAGCTCATTTGGCTCAGTGGATAGAGCGTTGGCCTGCGGACTGAAGAGTCCCTGGTTTGATTCCTGTCAAGGGCACATGCCCCGGTTGCAGGCTCTATCCCCAGTGGGGGGCATGCAGGAGGCAGCCGGTCAATGATTCTCTATCATTAATGTCTCTGTCCCTCTCCCTTCCTCTCTGAAATCAATAAAAACATATATATTTTTAAAAAGAGCACACATAAATCAGGTGGCCATAAAGCAGATGTAGGATCAAACCCACTTTCTGCATTTTCTTATTAATGGGTTCTCACTGTCTAAGCCAGCCGTGGGCAAACTACGGCCCATTTGAAATGAATAAAACTAAAAAAAAAAAGACCGTACCCTTTTATGTAATGACGTTTACTTTGAATTCATATTAGTTCACAAACACTGCATCCATGCTTTTGTTCCGGCCCTCCGGTCCAGTTTAAGAACCCATTGTGGCCCTCGAGTCAAAAAGTTTGCCCACCCCTGGTAAGCTAACAGATACTATAAAGCTATGTTGAAGAATTATTTAGCAGTTCTTGGTTACTAAATTTTAGAAAGTCTTTCGAAGCTAAGAACAAGCCCATAAGAGTTGATTGTGCACATCTCTTCCCAAATCTGTGTTCAGTGACATTTCATTAATAGCTTGAAACTGAACTTGGTCTGCGTGTTTACACCATGGAAATTGGCAGATACTATAAATCAGTAGTTGTCCCCTGGAGAGCCTATTGTTAGGCATTTCCAGCATATCTCAGTGCATAGTGGTTCTATTTAAAATGTGGTCCACCAATAGGTATCGATTCACAAACTATTTGATGAGTGCATGGTGAGATACATCATGAAAATTGAAAGTAAGCTTTTAGAAACTTTTCTAACAGTTCTACAGAGTAGTTTGTCAGTTGATTCTAATGAAAACTGCTCTTGTTTTTGTGTACCTCTTTCAAAATTTCCTTTTCCTAGTAATTCATTTTCATTGCATTTTACCAAAGTATTGTTCTGCAACAGATTGGACATCAAACCAACTGGCCTATCACTGGAGATAGTTTGAGAAGCATCTGGATAGTTAGAGAAGCATAGGAAACATTTCACATCCAGTGGGTAGGGCAGAGGTAGTGCACGTGAGATTAAGGACATATTAGAGAAGTAACTTGAAACTACAGGGAACTTTAGAAAGCAAAATGACATAAAAAAGCCAAGAAAAATGTGGAAGGATCTAAACTTGGGACATAAAGAGTTTCCTGCACAATTACAGGATGGACTTGTGGTTTTAATGTCAGGCAAGCTGCTTATTTATAATGTGTATGAAAAGGGGCCACATACTCAACCTGACAAACTCAGGAAAGGCCTGTGTGATGGCCTCACAATCTCAGAAGCCTAAAGAAACCGCATAAGATGGTCTGAAATTAAAACTTTCTAACTAAAAGCATTTTAGTCATGTCCTAGGCTAGAATGTTCCCTGACAAAGGTCAATCTTCCCTTTAACTAAGCCTGTATATTATCTTTTTGCATCTAGGATAACATACCTGATAAAATTGCCTTTGCAAAAACAAAGTAATTTCCCTTTTTCCAGGCCTCTCAAAGCACAGGTACCACAGCAGAGTAGAGACCACAAATCCCCTCATTGTCATTGTTATCGTGTTAGTTGTTGGCTGTTCACTATCCGGTCTGAGGACAGAACGGCTAACAGAAGTTCACTGCTGCTGCTTCCCGTCAACAGGCCCGAAGTGCTGGCCTTACAGTGAATTGTGGAGGGCGTGGCCTCCATGGTGGTTTATTACACAGGCCGGACTTCCCCACCTGATGCCAATCAGTGGCCTGGCCTGAGTCCTTCACAGGATAAAAGCACAAATCCAGGTGTAAACAAAGACGATGAGACGGAGAATTCCTCCATACCCCTTGGTGGGCCATTAGATCAACCTCAGCACTCTAACACACACTGCGCTAAAAATCCAATAGACCTGGTCTAATGACAGAGGACGAGCTCACTGCCCCCATTGTTTGATGGTAAGACTGAGGCTCACAGCAGGTTAAGTTATGCAGCTACTAAGTGATACAATTAGCATACTCAGGGCTCCAAATCGCATCTCTTTTCCTTCACCCAAACCACCTGTATTCATCCCCCTATGAAACTATCCATTTCAACACCTGGTCCAGTGAAGCCTGATGCCTTCCATCAAAAACTGCCAGGAAACTGCTCCTGGCACAATCCTTTGTGCCCTGCAGGAACCTGTCAAAGGTTTGGAGAGTGAATGAATTTGGAGTGGTCAACAGGGTGTACCAGCTACAACTTTAAAAACACTGCGAAAAGGGGAGAAATTCCACACGCACACACACACACAAATACACATGGAAAAAAATCACTCCTGTGTTTCAAAATATTTACAGCATAACATGTACAGGCCACCCAAAGCGTGGTGGTCAGTGGTCGCGGCCCTGCTGGCGTCACGGTGAGAAGGTAGAGGGCTGAGGCGTGGGGGGCTGGGCTTCTGGGACAGGGGCAGGGCTTCTCCTCGCCTTCTCTCTTGGTTAGTTTTGGCTCAAGGGACGTAGCTATGAGAACGATTTCCACTCAAGCCATCCTCCACGGAAACCACAAAGACTAGCTAACCTTTTCTCCATGGAAGCAGAAAAAAAGCACGCTTGTGTGAGCGCGCAGGGGGAGGACAGGGAATGTGGACAGAGAGGGAGGGGTGGTGTAATAACTCTTGTAGTCATAAGACTTGCCAGTTGGTAGTTACTAGTATTCCAGACACTTCCTAATGCCAGACAAATGCCCCAAGCCCGGGCATGTCTGGCTCAGAGATCTGTTCAGCTGATAGCAGCCGTTTCTTGTGGGGAGAACAGATCTTTCAGGGAGCAGTGCTCTGAGGCTAATCAAACACAACATTGTTCTCCGAAGGGAGACTGGGAAGGTTTGTTTCAGTCACTTTTTTTAAAGAGGCACTCAAGTTGTTTTAACTGTTGCTCACAGTGCCTGCACTGTACCAAAATCCAGAGAGGGAGGGATCAGAAAGTGTCATAAAAA